ATATATATATTTCATGTTCTGATTCAGGATTCAGACTGACTTTTAAGATCATGCCACTTGCATTAGCAGGAGTGTCAATATTTTTATATGTGACATTAATTTTAAGCTCCTTCTTGTGAACATGTGTTGAAAGTGATGGCATCAATCTGGCCAAGCCCCAAATTAAAACAACTCTGTTAAATTTGGGTACATTTTCTCATTGTTGTACAGTTATCATATTAACTTATTATTGTTCATGATAAACTTGAAGGAAATAGCTTTAGTTTGTTTTAGTTTTGCAGGGTTAACATTGATACATGAATTGTGATGTTAGCATACTAAATTAATACTGCGCATTACTTCACTATCCTAAAATCAACAATGTAGGAAACCTGATTGGGTGGTTTGTGTTGTGTGAGGACACTCTACACTGGAATATATTCAGTAGCACACAACAATAATAAAAGAGGGAAGTGCATTACCATTTTGTAGCATCTAACATTTCATTAAATTAAAAGTTATCTGTCAGGAATGGAAAGCAAAGATGAAAATTTAGAGGTCAGAGACCAACAGTTTGTCATCATTTCCCCAACAACTACTATATGAATTCAAATATACAAATTCCCTCATTTGCCTCAGCTCAAAATATGTAAAATAGATTTGTCAAATGAGTTTCAGTCCTGTTTAGACCTATCATCATGTAGGATTATTATCTCATTTTACTGATGAGGAAACAGAAACAGAAGAGGGAAAAGATATTCACAGAAAAGACATTCACTAGTTTAAAAAAAGATAATTTTTTAGGCTTCCATCTAGAGGGCTTTTCCATGGCTGGAAGTGACTGGTCTTGAACTCTCAGAAGGATCAAACAGTTTCATGATTCATTTACTGATGTATTCAACAAATATATACTGAGCACCTACTATGAATCACACATTATTTTAGGTGTTGCCTATGTAGTTGTAACATACAACATGACAAAATGCTTGTTTTCCAGTAAGAGAAGAAGGGCAAGAAACAAAATAAATTAAGGTAAATGTTCAATACAGTATATTTCAGAAAAAGGTGGAAAAATTGAGAGAAGATGCCTTAATTCTAGGTAGTGCTATCAGGAAAGCTACATCTAAGATTATGATATTTAAGTAAAGTTCTGAAAGATATGAAGTAGCAACATATCTTCAGATATGTTGAATCTGAAGAAAGCAAATTCCAGTCAAAAGGAAGAGTAATAGAATTTGTGGGTTGCTTACAGTGAATCAAGTTTCACAATATTAGTTTCCAAGATACCGGAAAAATCAGGAGCCCTTAAACCTTTTAGAGGCTCGTGATTCAACATGATAAGCCCAATACAGATCCTCACACACTGGCTACAAATCAGGGTCCACTGATGCCATTTCAGTCAAGAGTCCTCTTTAAATCCACAACTCTATGTCGATTTCTCCCATGACATATCTCAAAGTAGGGTTTCTATGAAATCGTTTGTACACTGAAATGACACAGAGGGTACAAGCAAGCTTCATTACTTTATATGGAAAAATCTCCTATGTGTTTGCTGGCCTCAAAAATAAACCTACTAAATCATAAAAAATAATATGTAAACTTCCAAATAACACCAACATACCATAAGCAGAGAAACCATGGCTCAAAGTTATGACAGGCTGATGATGAAATACTGAGTGTAATTCCAATGCGGGGCAAGGCTATTCTTGCTTCAGTCTTTTTTTTTCCATAAAAGAGAA